CCGCGCGGAGGTTCCGCCGCCCGCCAGGCCCCGGGCACAGGTAAGGGCCGGGCCGGGATTCCCGGGAATTCCTGGGAGAGCGGGAATTGCGGGAATAACGGGAAGGGCAGCGGGAGAGGGAGGGGGCTGCGGGATTACACGGAGCTGGCGGCGCCGGGCGTGCTCGGGCCGCCTCGGGATTGCCGCCGGAGCCTGGAATGAGGGAATGGGAGCGGTGGGAATCTGGGATTTGGGAATACGCGCTGGGAAATGCGGGAATGCGAGCTGGGAATACGGGAATACGAGCTGGGAATACGGGATATGGGCTGGGGGAATGTGGGGTGCAGGAATAGGGGCTCTGGAATTCGGGAATATGGGCTCTGGAATTCCTGGAATTCCCTGAGGATTTCCCCGGGAATGCCAGGATTTCCCTGGGAATGTCAGGATTTTCCTGGAAATCTCGGGATTTCCCAGGGAATCTGGGGATTTCCCTGGAATTCTGAGGGTTTTCCTGGGAATACCAGAATTTCCTGGAAAAGCTCCATCCGGGCCTGCTGCAGTTCCATCTTTCCCGGTTTTCCCTGCAGGAATCCCAAGAGGAATCCGTAAATCCCGGGAATTTTTGCCTCTGGAAGCTCGGGATGCATTAGAATTCCAAGAATTCCCTTTCCCTGAGGTAAGAGCGTAGCCGCTTTTCCCCATTCCCGTTTTTTCCCGGCTCTGTTGGGATACCTGGAGTTCCTATCCCGGCTCGGATCCACATTCCCACATTCCCAGGACCCGACCCTCGGCAGGGCCGCCGTGTTTTCCCAGGAATACAGCACCATTCCCATCTGGAACATCCCAAATCCCCCTCCTGATCCCGTTTTTCCCTGTTTTTCCCAGGAATGCAGCACCATATGCTGCCATTCCCATCTGGAACATCCCAAATCGCTCTCCTGATCCTGTTTTTCCCCATTTTTCCCTGGTTTTTCCCCATTTTTCCCTGTTTTTCCCAGGAATGCAGCACCATTCCCATCTGGAATATCCCAAATCCCTCTCTTGATCCCGTTTTTCCCTGTTTTTCCCAGGAATGCAGCACTATATGCTGCCATTCCCATCTGGAACATCCCAAATCCCCCTCCTGATCCCGTTTTTCCATGTTTTTCCCAGGAATGCAGCACCATGCGCTGCCTGGCCCTGTCACCCTGCCCGTTCCCATCCCAAATCCCCCTCCTGATCCCGTTTTTCCCTGTTTTTCCCAGGAATGCAGCACCATGCGCTGCCTGGCCCGCCTCAGCTCCAAGGCGCTGCTGGTTCTCTGCGCGCTCCTGGCGCTGCTCTCGCTGCTCCTCTGGAGCCGCTGCTCCCACCATTCCCAAACCCCGGCGCGGCCCCCGGAGCGCCCCGAGGAGGAGGAGGAGGAGGAAGCCTCGCCCCGGGACGCTCCGGGAATCCCGGGAAGCGCTGGGAAAGCGGCTGCGCTGCGCTACGAGGAGATCGACTGCGTCATCAACGAGGAGCAGACGGTGAAGGGGCGGCGCGAGGGCTCCGAGGTTTTCCTGCCCTTCAGCTGGGTGGAGAAATACTTCCAGGTGTACGGCAGGATCACCGGCTCCGACGGGAACGAGCGCTTCGAGTTCTCCCACAGCTACTCCAAGGTGTACGCGCAGCGCGCGCCGTACCGGCCCGACGGCGTCTTCATGTCCTTCGAGGGCTACAACGTGGAGCTGCGCGACAGGGTCAAGTGCATCAGCGGGGCTGAAGGTGATGGGAGTGGGCTGGGAATGTGGGAATGAATGTGGGAACATGGGAATGCGCAGGGAATGTGGGAACGTGGGAATGGTGACAGGGTCAAGTGCATCAGCGGGGCTGAACGTGATGGGAGTGGTCTGGGAATGTGGGAATGAATGTGGGAATGTGCTGGGAATGTGGGAATGAGCTGGGAATGAATGAGGAAGTGTGGGAATGAATGTGGGAATGTGGGAATGGGGACAGGGTCAAGTGCATCAGCGGGGCTGAAGGTGATGGGAGTGGTCTGGGAATGTGGGAATGAATGTAGGAATGTGCTGGGAATGGGCTGGGAATGTGGGAATGAATATGGGAGTGTGCTAGGAATGGGCTGGGAATGTGCTGGGAATGTGGGAATGGGCTGGGAATGTGCTGGGAATGAATGAGGAAGTGTGGGAATGAATGTGGGAATGGTGACAGGGTCAAGTGCATCAGCTGGGCAGAAGGTGCTGGGAATGGCATTCCTGCAGGTTTTTGGGATTGGGGTGGTCCTGAAAATATCCTGGAAGTGCTGCTGAAGGTGTGCTGGAAGTACAGAGTGACCTGGATTTGGTGCTGGGAATGTGGGAAAGCGGGAATGTGGGAATGGTGACAAGGTCAAGTGCGTCAGGGCTGTGGAAGGTGGGATTTGCTGGGAATCAGAGGATTTTTGGGATTGGGATCATCCTTTAAACGCACCGGAACGATTCCATGAACGTTGAGAAGAGCAGGGCAGGGATTCCTCCACCAGCTCAAACCACGGAATTCCGAATTTTAACGGGAAAGGGCCCCAC